CACACACTGGTGAGGGTACACACTGGTGAGGGTACACACACACTGGTGAGGGTACACACACACTGGTGAGTGTACACACACACTGGTGAGGGTACACACACACTGGTGAGTGTACACACACACTGGTGAGGGTACACGCACACTGGTGAGGGTACACGCACACTGGTGAGGGTACACACACACACTGGTGAGGATACACACACACTGGTGAGGTACACACACACTGGTGAGGGTACACACACACACTGGTGAGGGTACACGCACACTGGTGAGGGTACACGCACACTGGTGAGGGTACACACACACAGGTGAGTGTATACACACACACTGGTGAGGGTACACACACACAGGTGTGTATACACACACACTGGTGAGGGTAACACACACAGGTGAGTGTACACACACACTGGTGAGGGTACACACACACAGGTGAGTGTATACACACACTGGTGAGGGTACACACACACTGGTGAGGGTACACACACACTGGTGAGGGTACACACACACTGGTGAGGGTAAACACTGGTGAGGGTACACACTGGTGAGGGTACACACACACTGGTGAGGGTACACACACACTGGTGAGGGTACACACACACAGGTGAGGGTACACACACACTGGTGAGGGTACACACACACTGGTGAGGGTACATACATTGGTGAGGGTACACACACACTGGTGAGGGTACACACACACTGGTGAGGGTACACACACTGGTGAGGGTACACACACACAGGTGAGGGTACATACATTGGTGAGGGTACACACACACTGGTGAGGGTACACACACACTGGTGAGGGTACACACACTGGTGAGGGTACACACACACAGGTGAGGGTACATACATTGGAGAGGGTACACACACACTGGTGAGGGTACACACACACAGGTGAGTGTACACACACACTGGTGAGGGTACACACACACAGGTGAGTGTATACACACACACTGGTGAGGGTACACACACACTGGTGAGGGTACACACACACTGGTGAGGGTACACACACACTGGTGAGGGTAAACACTGGTGAGGGTACACACTGGTGAGGGTACACACACACTGGTGAGGGTACACACACACTGGTGAGGGTACACACACACAGGTGAGGGTACACACACACTGGTGAGGGTACACACACACTGGTGAGGGTACACACACACAGGTGAGGGTACATACATTGGTGAGGGTACACACACACTGGTGAGGGTACACACACACAGGTGAGTGTATACACACACTGGTGAGTATACACACACTGGTGAGGGTACACAGACACAGGTGAGGGTACACACACTGGTGAGGGTAAACACTGGTGAGGGTACACACACACTGGTGAGGGTACATACATTGGTGAGGGTACACACACACTGGTGAGGGTACACACACACTGGTGAGGGTACACACACTGGTGAGGGTACACACACACAGGTGAGGGTACATACATTGGTGAGGGTACACACACACAGGTGAGGGTACACACACACTGGTGAGGGTACACACACACTGGTGAGGATACACACACACTGGTGAGGGTACACACACACTGGTGAGGGCACACACACACAGGTGAGGGTACACACACACTGGTGAGGGTACACACACACACTGGTGAGGGCACACACACACTGGTGAGGGTACACACACACTGGTGAGGGTACACACACTGGTGAGGGTACACACACACTGGTGAGGGTACACACACACAGGTGAGGATACACACACACTGGTGAGGGTACACACACACAGGTGAGGGTACACACACACTGGTGAGGATACACACACATTGGTGAGGGTACCACACACACTGGTGAGGGTACACACACACAGGTGAGGGCACACACACACTGGTGAGGATACACACACACTGGTGAGGGTACACACACACAGGTGAGGGCACACACACACTGGTGAGGATACACACACATTGGTGAGGGTACACACACACTGGTGAGGGTACACACACACACTGGTGAGGGTACACACACACTGGTGAGGGTACACACACACGGGTGAGGGTACACACACACAGGTGAGGGTACACACACACTGGTGAGGGTACACACACACTGGTGAGGGTACACACACACTGGTGAGGGTACACACACTGGTGAGGATACACACACACAGGTGAGGGTACACACACACTGGTGAGGATACACACACACAGGTGAGGGCACACACACACTGGTGAGGGTACACACACACAGGTGAGGGCACACACACATGGTGAGGGTACACACACACACTGGTGAGGGTACACATACACAGGTGAAGGTACACACACACACTGGTGAGGGTACACACACACTGGTGAGGGTACACACTGGTGAGGGTACACATACACTGGTGAGGGTACACACACACTGGTGAGGGTACACACACTGGTGAGGGTACACACACACTGGTGAGGGTACACACACACTGGTGAGGGTACACACACACTGGTGAGGGTTCACACACTGGTGAGGGTACACACACACACTGGTGAGGGTACACACACACTGGTGAGGGTACACACACTGGTGAGGGTACACACACATTGGTGAGGGTACACACACTGGTGAGGGTACACACACATTGGTGAGGGTACACACACTGGTGAGGGTACACACACACTGGTGAGGGTACACATACTGTTGAGGGTACACACACACTGGTGAGGGTACACACACACAGGTGAGGGTACACACACTGGTGAGGGTACACACACACAGGTGAGGGTACACACACACTGGTCAGGGTACACACTGGTGAGGGTACACACACACTGGTGAGGGTACACACACACAGGTGAGGGTACACACACACAGGTGAGGGTACACACTGGTGAGGGTACACACACATTGGTGAAGGTACACACTGGTGAGGGTACACACACACTGGTGAGGGTACACACACATTGGTGAGGGTACACACACACTGGTGAGGGTACACACACACTGGTGAGGGTACACACACACTGGTGAGGGTACACACTGGTGAGGGTACACACACACTGGTGAGGGTACACACACACTGGTGAGTGTACACACACACTGGTGAGGGTACACACACACTGGTGAGTGTACACACACACTGGTGAGGGTACACGCACACTGGTGAGGGTACACGCACACTGGTGAGGGTACACACACACACTGGTGAGGATACACACACACTGGTGAGGGTACACACACACTGGTGAGGGTACACACACACACTGGTGAGGGTACACGCACACTGGTGAGGGTACACGCACACTGGTGAGGGTACACACACACAGGTGAGTGTATACACACACACTGGTGAGGGTACACACACACAGGTGTGTATACACACACACTGGTGAGGGTACACACACACAGGTGAGTGTACACACACACTGGTGAGGGTACACACACACAGGTGAGTGTATACACACACACTGGTGAGGGTACACACACACTGGTGAGGGTACACACACACTGGTGAGGGTACACACACACTGGTGAGGGTAAACACTGGTGAGGGTACACACTGGTGAGGGTACACACACACTGGTGAGGGTACACACACACTGGTGAGGGTACACACACACAGGTGAGGGTACACACACACTGGTGAGGGTACACACACACTGGTGAGGGTACATACATTGGTGAGGGTACACACACACTGGTGAGGGTACACACACACTGGTGAGGGTACACACACTGGTGAGGGTACACACACACAGGTGAGGGTACATACATTGGTGAGGGTACACACACACTGGTGAGGGTACACACACTGGTGAGGGTACACACACTGGTGAGGGTACACACACTGGTGAGGGTACACACACAGGTGAGGGTACATACATTGGTGAGGGTACACACACACTGGTGAGGGTACACACACACAGGTGAGTGTATACACACACACTGGTGAGGGTACACACACACTGGTGAGGGTACACACACACTGGTGAGGGTACACACACACTGGTGAGGGTAAACACTGGTGAGGGTACACACTGGTGAGGGTACACACACACTGGTGAGGGTACACACACACTGGTGAGGGTACACACACACAGGTGAGGGTACACACACACTGGTGAGGGTACACACACACTGGTGAGGGTACACACACACAGGTGAGGGTACATACATTGGTGAGGGTACACACACACTGGTGAGGGTACACACACACAGGTGAGTGTATACACACTGGTGAGTATACACACACACTGGTGAGGGTACACAGACACAGGTGAGGGTACACACACTGGTGAGGGTAAACACTGGTGAGGGTACACACACACTGGTGAGGGTACATACATTGGTGAGGGTACACACACACTGGTGAGGGTACACACACACTGGTGAGGGTACACACACTGGTGAGGGTACACACACACAGGTGAGGGTACATACATTGGTGAGGGTACACACACACTGGTGAGGGTACACACACACAGGTGAGTGTACACACACACTGGTGAGGGTACACACACACAGGTGAGTGTATACACACACACTGGTGAGGGTACACACACACTGGTGAGGGTACACACACACTGGTGAGGGTACACACATACTGGTGAGGGTAAACACTGGTGAGGGTACACACTGGTGAGGGTACACACACACTGGTGAGGGTACACACACACTGGTGAGGGTACACACACACTGGTGAGGGTACACACACACTGGTGAGGGTACACACACACAGGTGAGGGTACACACACACTGGTGAGGGTACACACACACTGGTGAGGGTACACACACACAGGTGAGGGTACATACATTGGTGAGGGTACACACACACTGGTGAGGGTACACACACACAGGTGAGTGTATACACACACTGGTGAGTATACACACACACTGGTGAGGGTACACAGACACAGGTGAGGGTACACACACTGGTGAGGGTAAACACTGGTGAGGGTACACACACACTGGTGAGGGTAAACACTGGTGAGGGTACACACACACTGGTGAGGGTACACACTGGTGAGGGTACACACTGGTGAGGGTGAGTTTAGCTCTCACCTCACTGTAATCGGCTTCACGCGGGTCGCGTTGTGGAGCCGCGACCCCAGGGCCGAGGCTCCATGTGGCCTACGAGCCGCCGCGACTCCTCACCCCACTGCTCACCCCACTGCTCACCACTCACCCCACTCCTCACCCCACCGCTCACCCCACTCCTCACCACTCACCCCACTCCTCACCACTGTCTCCTTTCCCTGCTGTCCTCCTTCCTCACCATTCACCGCGCCTGGCACTCACCACTGACCGCCGCTGCCTCACGCCGCCGCTCGCCTGACCACTCACCCACCGCTCACCCTGCTCCAGCGTCTCTCTCTCTCTCTCTCCTCACCAACTGTCACTCTCTCCTCACCAACTCTCTCCTCACCAACTCTCTCCTCACCAACTGTCACTATCTCTCCTCACCAACTGTCTCTCCTCACCAACTGTCACTCTCTCCTCACCAACTCTCTCCTCACCAACTCTCTCCTCATCAACTCTCTCCTCACCAACTGTCACTTTCTCCTCACCAACTGTCACTCTCCTCACCAACTGTCACTCTCTCCTCACCAACTCTCTCCTCACCAACCGTCACTATCTCCTCACCAACTGTCACTCTCCTCACCAACTGTCTCTCTCTCCTCACCAACTCTCTCCTCACCAACTGTCACTCTCTCCCCACCAACTGTCTCTCTCTCCTCACCAAATGTCTCCTCACCAACTGTCACTCTCTCTCCTCACCAACTGTCTCTCCTCACCAACTGTCACTCTTTCCTCACCAACTGTCACTCTCTCCTCACCAACTGTCACTCTCCTCACTAACTATCACTCTCTCCTCACCAACTGTCACTCTTTCCTCACCAACTATCACTCTCTCCTCACCAACTGTCACTCTCTCCTCACCAACTGACTCTCTCCTCACCAACTGTCACTCTCTCCTCACCAACTGTCTCTCTCCTCACCAACTGTCACTCTCTCTCCTCACCAACTGTCACTCTTTCCTCACCAACTGTCACTCTCTCCTCACCAACTGTCACTCTCCTCACTAACTATCACTCTCTCCTCACCAACTGTCACTCTTTCCTCACCAACTATCACTCTCTCCTCACCAACTGTCACTCTCTCCTCACCAACTGACTCTCTCCTCACCAACTGTCACTCTCTCCTCACCAACTGTCTCTCTCCTCACCAACTGTCACTCTCTCCTCACCAACTGTCTCTCTCCTCACCAACTGTCACTCTTTCCTCACCAACTGTCACTCTCTCCTCACCAACTGTTTCTCTCCTCACCAACGGTCTCTCTCTCCTCACCAACTGTCTCTCTCTCCTCACCAACTGTCACTCTCTCTCCTCACCAACTGTCACTCTCTCTCCTCACCAACTGTCTCTCTCTCCTCACCAACGGTCTCTCTCTCCTCACCAACTGTCACTTTCTCCTCACCAACTGTCTCTCTCTCCTCACCAACTGTCTCTCTCTCCTCACCAACTGTCACTCTCTCCTCACCAACTGTCACTCTCTCTCCTCACCAACTGTCACTCTCCTCACCAACTGTCTCTCTCTCTCCTCACCAACTGTCTCTCTCTCCTCACCAACTGTCACTTTCTCCTCACCAACTGTCTCTCTCTCCTCACCAACTGTCTCTCTCTCTCCTCACCAACTGTCACTCTCTCCTCACCAACTCTCTCCTCACCAACTCTCTCCTCACCAACTGTCACTATCTCCTCACCAACCGTCACTATCTCCTCACCAACTGTCACTTTCTCCTCACCAACTGTCACTCTCCTCACCAACTGTCACTCTCTCCTCACCAACTCTCTCCTCACCAACTGTCACTTTCTCCCCACCAACTGTCTCTCTCTCCTCACCAAATGTCTCCTCACCAACTGTCACTCTCTCTCCTCACCAACTGTCTCTCCTCACCAACTGTCACTCTTTCCTCACCAACTGTCACTCTCTCCTCACCAACTGTCACTCTCCTCACTAACTATCACTCTCTCCTCACCAACTGTCACTCTTTCCTCACCAACTATCACTCTCTCCTCACCAACTGTCACTCTCTCCTCACCAACTGACTCTCTCCTCACCAACTGTCACTCTCTCCTCACCAACTGTCTCTCTCCTCACCAACTGTCACTCTCTCCTCACCAACTGTCTCTCTCCTCACCAACTGTCACTCTCTCTCCTCACCAACTGTCACTCTTTCCTCACCAACTGTCACTCTCTCCTCACCAACTGTCACTCTCCTCACTAACTATCACTCTCTCCTCACCAACTGTCACTCTTTCCTCACCAACTATCACTCTCTCCTCACCAAACTCTCTCCCTCACCAACTGACTCTCTCCTCACCAACTGTCCTCTCTCCTCACCAACTGTCTCTCTCCTCACCAACTGTCACTCTCTCCTCACCAACTGTCTCCTCCTCCACCAACTGTCACTCTCTCTCCTCACCAACTGTCACTCTTTCCTCACCAACTGTCACTCTCTCCTCTCCTCTCTCCTCAACCACTGTTTCTCCTCTCCTCACCAACGGTCTCTCTCTCCTCTCTCACAACTGTCTCTCTCTCCTCACCAACTGTCCTCTCTCTCCTCACCAACTGTCACTCTCTCTCCTCACCAACTGTCACTCTCTCCTCACCAACTGTTTCTCTCCTCACACACGTCTCTCTCTCCTCACCAACTGTCTCTCTCTCCTCACCAACTGTCACTC